TGGTTTAGTACTTCCCTAGTTTTTATATCTACTTCACTAGGTAGCCTCGATGCCAATTTCCTTTAGGAAAAAGAAATATCAAACATCCCCACAGCGTTGTGCCCACCTCTGAAGGTCAGTTTCCACGTTGCTGATTGTCTGGACTCTAGGTTGGGGAGGAGGCTGGCTGGGCTTAGCAAGACCCTTACCACGCCTGGACCTGACCCTACAGAATGACAATCAAAAGATGTAGAGAGGTTTTTCTGCCCCCTCAGGGGATAGTCTTCCAGAACTACAGTGTGCTGTGTTCTTGCTGTGTAGTTATTGTGCTGGACAGTTAGCTTCGGGTTACACACAGCAGGAAGACTTAAGTTAGATCTAAGGAAGGACTTACATCTCTCAGTACTGATAGAGTAAGAACTGAGCTTTCTTTTCATCATCATCATCATCATCATCATCTTATTATTATTATTATTACTACTGTATTTTAGAGAGAGAGAGTGTGCATGAGTCGGGGGACAGGGACAGAGGGACAGCCAGGGCCCGGGAGGGCTGAAGGCTGTGCTTGGCCCTCAGCGAGAGACAGAGAGAATCCCAAGCAAACTCCATGCTCAGTGTGGAGACTGACATAGGGCTCAGTCTCATGACCCTGGGATCATGACCTGAGCCCAAATCAAGAGACACTCAACCCACTGAGCCACCCAGGCACCCCCAACTTATAACTGTTTTTAAAACTTCACTTGAATGCTTGTCGTGTGAGGGAAGCATGAAACCATTTTGGTGCATATTTTAAATAAAGGCTTAGAGTTGCTGAATATTTTATTGTCCTGTTAACATTTTTTAGCAGCCCTTCTTCTGCTTTCCAGAATGGTACTGATGTATGATTTCTATGTAAAGCTCCCCACTGCACACACTCCCCACACTTCCCACCACACACACCTGGGGCCTGGTAGACCTGGGCATTGGCAGTGGGAAGAGCTTGGTGGCCTTGGTGACCTTGGGACTGCCCCTGGGTGCAGGGACTGAGATTCTGTGAATCCTCATTGAGACCCTGTCCCCTGGCAGGGCCCTCTTGCTGCCATGACAAGGCAGGTTTGTTTCCCAGTGCAAGTAAATTCTAGAGGGATTGACCTAATTTCCGGAGTCTGAAGGGCGACAGAGGCCCCAGCCAGAACTGCTGTAAGTGGGTAATAAACAGTGTCTATTAGGGAAAATAAATAACATCTCCCTTGGAGAGCAGGCCCCCTGAGCCCCTCCCACCGATCCAGGAGACAGATCTCTCCCAGGAGGGGGACTCCTGAAGGGATGTCTGTCTTTCCACATCCCTGCAGTTCCGACTGTGTAGCTGGACTCCTGCTGTCTCCGGACGGACCTCATGGCAGAAGGGAGACTTGGGGGGAAGTCTGGGCCAAGCCAGGGTCCGGGAGGGCTGAAGGCTGTGCTTGGCCCTCAGAGTTGAACTTTTAAGGGCTGCCAGCAGCCTCTCTGGAAAGCAGTGTGGAGGTTCCTCAGAAAATTAAAAATAGACCTACCCTATGACCCAGCAATAGCACTGCTAGGAATTTATCCAAGGGACACAGGAGTACTGATGCATAGGGGCACTTGTACCCCAATGTTCATAGCAGCACTCTCAACAATAGCCAAATTATGGAAAGAGCCTAAATGTCCATCAACTGATGAATGGATAAAGAAATTGTGGTTTATATACACAATGGAATACTACGTGGCAATGAGAAAAAATGAAATATGGCCTTTTGTAGCAACGTGGATGGAACTGGAGAGTGTGATGCTAAGTGAAATAAGCCATACAGAGAAAGACAGATACCATATGGTTTCACTCTTATGTGGATCCTGAGAAACTTAACAGGAACCCATGGGGGAGGGGAAGGAAAAAAAAAAAAGAGGTTAGAGTGGGAGAGAGCCAAAGCATAAGAGACTGTTGAGAACTGAGAACAAACTAAGGGTTGATGGGGGGTGGGAGGGAGGAGAGGGTGGGTGATGGGTATTGAGGAGGGCACCTTTTGGGATGAGCACTGGGTGTTGTATGGAAACCAATTTGACAATAAATTTCATATATAAATAAAAAAAATAAAGTCAAAGTAAAAAACCTGAATTAGGTATATCTGGAAAGTGCTAACAGTAAGAAAGCTGAGGTAACATTTTCATATTGGACAAAATGGACTTTAGAGGAAAAATATTGATGAAAGTAAAGGTCTCTGTATAAGGGCTGCCAGCTGTGGGAGTCACAGCCACAGCCACACACACACACACACACACACACACACACACACATGCGCACACACACACACACACACACACACAGAACTCCCCGTCTGAGGTAGCTATGATACCAAGTTATTAGGAAAACTGAAGGTTGGAGAGCTAAATAATTTGCCAGAGTTTGCCCAGCTCATAAATGGACAAAGCCAGAACTGAAACCTATTTGCCTGCGTTTTTAAAATCGAGTTCTTTCCCCTATTCTGGTGCTGTTGGTGCTGTTCCAACTGTAAGAAGCCTTAGAATCACTTAGGGATCTTGTTAAAACGCAGGTTCTGTTTCCATACGTGTAGGGTGTGGTGAGAGATTCTAGTAAGTTCCCAGGTAACGGCAGTGCTGCTCTCCTTGGAACACACTTGTAGCAGCAAGGATACTCTGCAAATATGTCAAAGGGGCTGACCCTGCGGAGCAGCACCTATAGATTGGGAGGCTGAGATTATGGTGGAAAATAGGGAGATGTAAATACCAGACTAGCTCAGGACTTGGAGGAAGCAGAGAGGTCAAGGGTGGGAGGAAAGGGCAGGCGTGCAGTCTCCCCCGCCCACCCCGGACACATCCTACTTTGACTTTGTGCGGGCCAGGTTCCCTGATATGGGTACAAGCTGTGTTTGTCACAATGGACACCTGGAGTCAGGAGGGTACAACATCTGTCAGGTTTCACTTCTGGTCCCAAATTCTAACTTGCCAGCTTGTTCATTCATCTAGTGACTTAGACCTTCTACTACATGGACTTTTCCAAAAATGGCTGCAGCAATATCTCCCATCCCACATGCTATTCCTGCAGTGGGACTTGCCGGCTAGAGGTGGAGGCTTGTATTCCTTCCCTGGGAATCTGAGCCGATGTGTGATCACAGATGAGGTGATGCTCTGTGACTCTTGAGGCCAGGACATAAAAGGCAACACGTCTTCCATCTGGCTCCCTTGGGACACTTGCTGTGGGAAGTCAGCCGCCATACTGTAAGGGGTCCAAGCAGTCCCGTGGAGAGGCCATGGGGGGGGTGTTCTGGCCATTGCAGGCGAGGCCCAGCCAATAGCCAGACATGTGAGTGAACAGGTCCTCAGTGACTAGACGCTGAGCCCCTCCAGTCTTAGACGCTTTCTGGCTGAGGCCTCGACATTCTTCCTGCACCCTTTTCGAATTCCTTGACCAACAGAATCTTTGAACATGAGAAAGTGGTTGTTTTTTTATTTTTTTAAAAATTTATTTATTTATTTGGAAAGAGAGGGAGGGAAGGGAAGAGAGAGAGAATCCCAAGCAGGCTCTGTGATGTCAGTGCAGAGCCCAATGTGGGGCTCAAACTCACAAACTGTGAGATCATGACCTGAGCAGAAATCACTCAAAGTTGGATGCTTAACCGACTGGGCCACCCAGGTGCCCCAGAAAGTGGTTGTTTTTAACACGGGTGCATTCGTGATGGCATCTACACAGCAACAGTGGCCAGAACAGGCCCCCAAGTAGGGGCTGCCTGAGGCCAGGTGGGTAACAAGACTCAGAGGGATTGGGGACAGTGGCAAAGTGGGTCCATGCAGCACTCGACACTGTAAATCTGCTTTTCCATTCTATTGACTTCTCAACAATTCTCATTTTATAGGTAGGAAAACCCTGATTTCAGATGCTGTTCAGGTCAGAGCTCATGGAGGTTGTATACTTGCTCAAGACCACATAGAGTTCAAGGCAGCTCCAAGATGACCCTTGGATCTGACTCTAGAGCTAGAACTCTTTCCATGAAAGTTGTACTGCCTCAGTCAGCCCTTGACAAATAAAAATGTCTCTGCCTGGCACAAAGCCATGGGTGGCTGGGGACCTCTCCTCTGTGTGATCAGTTTTGAATTTTGTGCCTTTAGTACCCATCACGGGAGAAGAAAAATCTTGAATGTTCTTAATAAACAGAGTCAGAGGAAAGCACTAGAACAGGGCAGGTGTTATTTGTCAAATGTGAGGAATAAGTGAATCAAGAAAATCGATCCTGGGTGGGATTTTTACAGGAGGGGGAGTGAAAGTGTGGAGCCCTAGCTCACTGGTGCTCCAGGATTTGAAGGAAATGAGACAGTGAGCAGATTTGGGGGTCTGGGAGCCTATTTGCAGCAGGTGTTTTTTTCCCATCTTCTCTGTACCTGCCCCAAGGCAAGCAGCTGCCAAGGGAGGGTATGGTGGCGGTGCCACAAGAGGAGAGTTTTATCCAGACTTCCCTGCCTGACAGGATGGGACGGAAGTAGTCCCCTTCCCCTTGAGCCACAGAAAGGGAGATTCTTCTTTTGTATTCCATCTCGGTTTCTGGTGAGAAGAGGCACTTTTGTCTTCCCAAAACTCTTCTAGCTCAGACCTTCCAGATGTCAGAGACAGCATTGTAGGTCACATGAGAGTCATATGGCTCACCTTGATGAGGCTGTAGTGCCCAGTTATTCAACAAAATACTAACCAGGGCGTTGCTGCGAAGGCATTTTGTAAATGCGTTTACTGTCTGCACTCAACTAAATAGATTACCCTCAATAACGTGGGTGGGCCTCGTGCAATCAGTTGAAGACATTAGGAGTAAAAACAGGTTTCCCCCAGAAGAAGAAATTATGCCTCAAGATGGCAACATCATATTCCGCCTGAGTTTGCAGCTTGCTTTATTGATGTTTCTGCTTACTTGCCCCACAATGACACAGGCCAGTTCCTTAAACAGGCACACGTGCACGCACACGCGCACACACACACACACACACACACACACACACACACCTCTCCTATTGGTTCTCTTTCTCTGGAGAACACTGCCTGATACAGATGTTGTCCTGACTACATCATGTTGTCCCAACGTTTTTTATTCTCTGTGACAACAATTTTGATGCACGGGTTCAAGCAGGTGTGATGACCATGGTGGCAGAGTGGGTGGAAGGTGAGGCTTGACACGCAGAACCACGGGCACGTTCTATGCGCCATGTTGTGTGTGCGCTGTGTCTCCTGTGGGTGAGCAGGAGGGCGTGGTCTATGGAAAGAGCACCTGGCAGAGAGTTGGGCCAGTGTTGAGGCCTTGGTTCAATGACTGACCACTGCTCTTCTGGAACATGAACAGAACTCCGAGAAGGATTCAGGTAGTCAAATAAGGTCACGGAGAGAGAAAGACAAATCCTGTATGATGCCGCCTATATGTGGAATCTTTAAAACACAAAAAAAGCCAATTTTATGAAACAGAGAATGGAATGGTGATTGCCAAGGGCCGGTGGGAGGGGACATGGGTGATGTCGGTCAAAGGGTACAAACTTTCAGTTCAAAGTAGAAGTTCTGTGGGTGAATGTAGAGCGTGGTGGTGATAGTGAATAGCGTGGTGTCGTAGACTTGAAAGTTGCTGAGGGTAGATCTTAAGTGCTGTCACCACACACGTGCACACACACGTTAACTGTGAGGTGATGGATGTGTTATAATGATCTTGACCTTGGTAATCATTCCACAATGCATATGTATATCAAATCATCACATTGTATGTTTTGAATAGATATATTTGTCAGTTACTCCTTAATAAAGTTAAAAAAGTTTTTTTTTTTATTTTTTAAAATTTACATCCCAATTAGTATATAGTGCTACAATGATTTCAGGAGTAGATTCCTTAATGCCCCTTACCCATTTAGCCCATCCCCCCTCCCACAACCCCTCCAATAACCCTCAGTTTGTTCTCCATATTTATGAGTCTCTTATGCTTTGTCCCCCTCCCTGTTTTTATATTATTTTTGTTTCCCTTCCCTCATGTTCATCTGTTTTGTCTCTTAAAGTCCTCATATGAGTGAAATCATATGATATTTGTCTTTCTCTGACTAATTTAATTTAGCATAATACCCTCCAGTTCCATCCACCTAGTTGCAAATGGCAAGATTTCATTCCTTTTTATTGCTGAGTAATACTCCATTGTGCATATACCACATTTTCTAGTTAAAACATTTTTAAAAAGGAAGAAGAAAGAAAACAGGGAATGGAGTGAAAGGGATTTTGTAAAACGAGACACATGCAATCTGGTATCTCTTAGTTTTTTAAAATCCAGATGCAGTCCACAAATTGTCTAAGGTAATTATTGTTCGGAGAGAGTACGATCAAGGGTGGAGATGGGCTTGTTTCTCCTTCCTCTGAATGACAGTGCAACGCAGTTCAAACCAGAGGAGAAACAAATGGGGGCTGTTCGTCAAAACCAGTTAAATACTTTCAATGAGGTCTAGCAGGGATGCAAATGTGAGGCTACTGAACTTGTCCCAGGCAACACTGGGAAGAACAGTGGGGAGGGGCTTTGGTCAGCCATTCAGGCTGGGCAAGTTACAGGGAGGAGGGGCAGAGCTAGCTTAGTGGTGTTCCTGTCTCTGCTTGCTTCCTCACCTTGACTTTGTAGAGTCAGTGATCCTGATTTGGAGTCATGGTAGGACTCAGGAGAATGCCCTTGGACAGGGACCTGTTTGCATGCTAAGTAGGGGGTGGGAGCTGTAGGCAGGGCTGAGGATTATACTGGGAGGAAGGGGAAGGGTCCATATCGTGAGCTGGAATGCTTATGTAGGATGTTTCAGTTGGCAAACAGAGTGGTCTGCCGAGTGCCCTGGGCCTTAACTCCCTTATATGCAGGCCTTTAGGACTGTATGACATACCTTCCTGTTTTTTAACTGCTTACTTGCCTGTCTCTTGGACTAGGCTATGAGTTTTGTGTGGTCAGAGGCCATCATGATCTGTATCCTAGCACATAATGTTTATGAATAAATAAATGAAGTCCTAAAGATGCCCGATCCATTGGCCATCATTTACTCTGGTTATATTCCTGTATGCATCGTTTCAGGGGCCCTGCGATAGAGGAAGAGAGGGACCGGGAGGGGAGGGAAAGAATGGGGAGGTAATTAAAGAAATAAGAAAATAAATCCCATCCTTCAGGGATTTGCAACTTCCATTGAGGAAGTCAAATATACTCATACAGTGCTAACAGTTTGCTCCTCTAAAACCTAATGAGCTTCATCCTGCAGCATCTCATTGCGGAGGAATCCACAGCCAGCCCTTGAGCAAGCCCGAGGCAGTCTTCTGAAGAACAAACCTGGAGGTGCAAGGGCATTGGGAGACCAGGTCCACTCTGGATGGGGTTGAGTTGGGTCACTCAGCACTGAATCTGGAGGGAGTGCGATTGGAGAGGGCCTCCAAGTGGGCACTGGCCCTTCTCTGAGCTTCAGGTATGCTGGCATCCTGGGAAAATGCCATCTCTGCATCCAGCTAAGATCGATGTCTCTTCCTGCCCATCTCAGGCTGTCAGGGACCAACTTCCTTAGAGCACATTTGGGCGGCACAGTCTTGCATTAATTTAGAGCTAATTGTCAGGTAATGAATTCGATTTGGCTCACCATATTGAAATCCCTTCTGCTCCCAGCTGAACACCAGTAAATCATTTGCATCACAAATCTCTTTGCTGGATGCTCAGCTTGGCCAAGCTGTTGCTCAGACCCTCTCCTGGCTCCCCACATTCCTAGATATTTGAGAGCAGCTGAAAATCATTACGCTTCCATGTTCGAGATGCAAAGCTGAGACCCACCCAAACTGAATTTGGGTTTGTGTTTTTGAAAAGTCTAGAACAATGGTTCTCAAAGTGTGGTCCACTGAACCAGCAACATCAGCATCCTAGTAACTCATTAGACATGCAAGTTTCAGACTCTATCTCCCGAAAAAATGGAATCAGAAACTGGGAGTGGGGCCCAGCAGTCTGTGGTTTAAGAAGCTCTCCAAGTGATTCTGATGCACAAATTTGAGAAGCACTGGTCTATCTAGAACATTCTCTAGGTCCACCAGAATGTCCGCACCAGAATTCTCAATTCACTTTAACTCTCTACAGGGCCAGCTTCCTTTTTCTAGATCTCTGGATTTTATTGGGGCCTTTTGAATTTATTCCTCTTCCACTTCTGTTTTAGTTAGAATTAGATTCAATTGGGGAGAAAACAAAGAGACAAATATAAGTGACTTAACCAAGTTAGAAGTTCTGATGTAAGGAAGTTGAGGATAGTTGTAGCCGACCACAGTGGACTCTAAGCTGAGGGTGGGTGATGGTCTAGTGAAACCAAAGAAAAGGTCCAGAGACAGGAATCAAGATACAGGTTTATTGGGGCAACTTTTGTGCGGGGAGTCCAGGAGTGGCTGACTGGATAAAGCATCCACTGCTGGGGTCTACATGCAGCAAGCTTTTGTAGCTTAGCACCTTAGCCCTCCCCTCTGTGCACGGCCAGCGTTCCAAGGAGATCAAGGCATGCCAACTTGACATTCTTCGTTACAAGGGAGATGCTGTGGGTTGGCCATATCCAGAGCTCCTGACCTTGAATGCTGAACGACACATTTTTCTGCACATTATGCTTGATGGGAATATAAGGGAGGACGGGATCCCTACCTTCTCAAGATAGTTATTAGCAGGGGTGTTTAGGGTATGGTTGTACAAACTAGCTATCCAGCACGTACCATGCAGATAGGCAGTCCAAAACTGGTTGCTCATGCCACTCATGGTCCAGGACGTCTGCTCAGGATCCAGCAAGCATCACGTCTGCCCTAGAAGACGGCCGAAAGAGAAGAGAGAAAGGCACGGTCATTCCCTGACAGACACTTCCTGGAAGTTGTACACAGCACTTCCGTCTTATCTCTCATTGGCCAAAACTTAGTCACTTGGCCATAACTGCCTACAAGGGAGCCTGGGAAATGTAGTTTTTCTTGTGGGTGTTCATGTGCCCCGTGGAAAAATATCAGGAAATCTATTTCTGAGGAAGTGGAGATTAGATATTGGCAGAGACGACTAGCTACAAATGAAGGTCTGTGCTGTAGCCTTTGATACATATTTCTGTTTCAGAGTCTTCGGCAAGTTCTTTCCCTTGTTTGTTACACCCTTCAACGGCCTGCTTCACAACATGTGTATTTCAGGAAGAAATACCTTGATCACCTTGAGCATTTCTTTCCTGACAGCCCCCATGCCTGTAGCCTACTACCTTCAATTCCCACTGCCTATTGGTCTGGCTAGTTTCTGTGAAATCATGATCCGCGGTTAGTCTTCAAATGCCTAGGAGCCTGTGTTTGGGCACGGTTTTTGCTGGTGGAGCCGTGGTGAGTCCCTCAACTCCTCTGGGGCCCCGACTCCTTGCCTGTAAAATGAGGGGATTGTAGATGGTCCCTGAGGTGCCTCCCGGCTCTAACATGCCACGGTGCTCTTTTTTGTTTCCTTTCCTGACATTTATGACCATCCTCGGGGTGAGAAGGCAGTGAGTCCTGACCAGCTAACTACCAGGTGAGCTTGACAGCATTGGTTATAAATGAAGGTGTGGACTGCAAAGCTGGGAAATACAGCCCGGGGCCTGATTTGGTTGATGGCTTTTGAGAAACTGGTTCTGGAAATGAAAAATGTGATTTGTGTAAAAATTAGGGGAAGTCTTGCAGAGAACCCTGTAAGGTGGTTGCTGGTGGGGGGCTCATTTATCTGATGTTGCCCCTCCTTGCTCCAAGCTCCTCCCCTACTTACTTCCACCTCCATTTTGCTGGTTTGAAAAACGAACAAATGCACAAGCAAAAAATAACTCTGAGATCCACAGAGAGGGGAGATAATTAAAGTCTTCCAACCAGCCAGTGATAGGACAGGCGTGGTGGTGACTTCCTGTTTGTGACCCAAGTATACACATATACACAAACAGGAAGTTGTGACCCAGTATACACATATACACGTGTGTGTACTCTCTCTCTTTATTCTAAATGAACCTGGCTGCAAGTAGTTACTAAAATGAGCTACACTTGACCTCTGTAAACCTCAGTTCCCTCATCTGTTAGATGGGATTAAAAACCACGTTCACAATTCTTAGGAGGATTAGCCAAAAAAATGTCCAAAAAGTCCTTGACACTTTTGGAGATGTGCAAAACGTTCCAGAAATGTTCCCTCTTTTCTGGAGATATGTATTTAAGTGGATTCTTAGGCATGATAGTCCCTAAGCAGACGTCTCAGTTTACTTGAACATCTGCTTAGCTGGGCAGTTTCTCTGAGGACCCTGCACTGAACAAACGTTGAATACACACCCCAGATAAACTGAACTTTAGGGCTGTGATCTGAGTGGGGGAGGACAAAGGAACCAGTAATGATTGAGACTTCTATGCCCTGAGTGTGGCAGGTGCTGTATATGGCTTACTCATCACATAATTCTGATGATCATGCATCACTCTGTCACAAATGAGGTCATAAAGGCCTGGAGACATAAGCAACTTGCCCACAGGTTTTTGGGGGGTGAGATCTGTGGGCACCTAGGGCATGGCCGAGTGGGACCAAGAAAGAGGAGTTTTGAGGTGGGTTTGGGAGGGAGGGTGAGATGGGGGGTGAGATGGGGGTGTGTGTGGTGAGGGGGTCCAGAGGTTCCATGAAAGGGCAGGTGGCCATTTCCCACTCTGGTAGGGGCCACTCTTAGTATTTAGTCTTAGTATTCTTAGTAATCTGTAAAAACGAATTGTCTTTCATAAAGCTTGTTTCTTGAGATTAAAAGTTAGTCTTTAAAAAAAAAATTTTTTTAATGTTTATTTTTTGAGGAGGAGGGGAGGGGCCGAGAGAGAGGGAGACACAGAATCCGAAGCAGGCTCCAGGCTCTGAGCTGTCAGCACAGAGCCTGACATGGGGCTCGAACTCACCAACCATGAGATCATGACCTGAGCTGAAGTCAGATGCTTAACTGACTGAGCCACCCATGCACCCCAAAAGTCAGTCTTAAGTAGAGAGGGGAAATCCTTTCTTTGAGCACATAATGCTCCGAGACACTTTCCTGAATATTCTTCCACAAGTCCGTTACTTACTCTGCTAACCCTAAGAGATGGTATATTCCCATTAAAGGGGTGGGTAAGTCAAGCATCCGCCAGTGGGTTCATTTCCCTTATTAATATCCCGCAAGCTTCAGAACCCTGAGGTGGGACCCATGAGGCTCCTGACTACTTCATCAGCTGACCACCTGCTCCCTTTGCAGTCTCTGACCCCATTCCCATCCTTTATATGAGCAGTGACCTCTGCGTGTAGACAGACATCCTGCCCTGTAACTCCCGCTCAGTCCCTCTGCCCTTCACCTACTTAGGGACAGCAGCCTCTTTCAGCTCTGTTGTGTGGGCTGGTGCCTCATGTTCGTGCACACCTCCACCTGAGCCCTGACCACTGTGTCAGAATTGGCTGTTGGTGTCCTTTGTCCTTCCCCAGGGAGCCCGTCTGCAAATCCCCAGAACCTGGAGACCAGTAGGTGCTTACATTGAACTTAATGGATTATGTTGCAATCTTAGACATTATTGTCAGTCATTTGCAGACTGAATACTGTGGGGAGGGATACAGAAAATGTGTGATAAGTTTTCCCTTTCTCTGGGAATCTAGTCTCTGAGGTGGGACTGACTCAGAGAACAGGGCCCGCAACCTGCCCCTCGTGTGGCGCAGACACCTGGAGGTTTTTCAGGCGAGGCCGGTTCCCGGCAGCTGGAGCCATCAGACAAGCAGAGTTCTTGGAGACAGTTTGGATTGGGTCCGAGGTGATGGGGGAGGCACAGGAGTGATGGTGGCCAGGGGGAGGGCTGGCTGAGATGAGTGGCCAGTGGGATGGCGCCACGGGGTGGGAGAGTGCAAAGGCCTAAAAGCCAGAACGGGATTTTGATGTCATGAGAAATAGCGAGCCATGGAAGGTTCTCCAGCAGGGAGAAACAGGATGAAGTTGTGTTTTAGGCCGGTGAGCGCTGACAAGTGCTAAGGAGAAGAGTCTAGGAGGAGGGGAAGAGGCGAGAAGGGCTGACCTCCCCCACATTTGCTCCGCTTCAGGCCTCTTCCATGTGGGTGTTGACTGGACCCAACCCATACATGGGCTGGAGAAGCTGCTTCCATGTTCACTCATTCTTTCAGAACGTTTTCTGGGGACACCTGGGAGGCTCAGTTGGTCAAGCATCCAACACTTGATTTCTGCTCCAGTCATGGTCTTGCAGTTCATGGGTTCGAGCCCCGCGTTGGACTCTGCACTGACAGCGTGGAGCCTGCTTGGGTTTCTCTCTCCCCCTCTCCCTCTGCCTCTCCCCCATGCACATTTTCTTTCCCTCCCTCCCTCTCTTTCTCTCTCTCTCCATAAATAAATAAACATTAAAAAAAACCCAAGCAAAACATTTCCTGTTGCCACCTACTATGCTCCAGTTCCCATGTGCTGGGAACTGTGCTGGGATTGTAGATGCTTGTGCCCGTCCCCAAACACCCTATGGCCGAGAACAGACATCACATAAACACACATCACACATCCACCTGATGACCTCTTTCACCTGTGCTCTGTCATTTAAGGAAATCATTGTGTTATGCATATAAGCTCTAGAGCTCTGCCCCCCACCCCACCCCACCCCGCACTCTCTGGGCTCCCCACTCCCATTGATTTGCCAGTTTTCTTGAAGGGGCTACCTTCTAAACAGTGTACACAGTGCTGTGGGAATAGGAGGTGGTCTGAGATGTGGTGGGGAGGATCCTTGAAATGCTGTCTCCCTTCCCTGCCCTTGGGTGCTTGCCCACTAACTCCCCGCCACTACCCCCAGCTGGGGATGTGTGCACACTTAGGGCCTCAGGGCAGACTCTGCTGAGAGGCCCTTGAGATCTCAGCCCCCATAGGCTTGACGCTAATCTCTATTGCTCCCAGAGCACACCTAATCCTTACCCTCCGTGTCCTTCTTCATTTGTCCTTCGGGCCTCATTCCTGAGACTAAGGGAGTCAGGCACAGAGAAAGATGCTCAGGGATTCCTGGGCTCAGTTGCCTACATGCCAACCCACCTGCAACACTCCCTTGAGGTTGAGACCCTCCAAAGAAGCTAGGGTTGAAGGACGCCCGCCTCCCTCCAGGGTGTCTCGACCTCCTTAGACTCAGCCTGTCAGTTACTGGTTGGAAACTGTCTCTGGTAGAACTGGTTAGTCTGGGCAGAGGCAGACACAGGTACCAAGGAGGACTGAGCATATCCTACGATCTAGGCTGTAGCACACGCATCACCCCACTGAACGACCGTGTAACCCGGATATCTGATCCTTATCCAGCCCAGAGGAATCAGGCTGGAATCTGGGTTAGGGTCAGGACTAGGTTTATTATATTAATTTCACACACAAGGCAATGAAGGCTCAGAGAGGGGAAGCTCCTTTGCTGTGTTCTCATAGATCTTGGCGGTCTGAGGGCACCCACCTTGCTCTGCTGAGGGCACCCACATTCCTGCAGCAACACAGGCTCCTGATGCCCTGCAAGGCTGGGGATGCTCCCACAGCTCTGCCAGGGTTCACTAGCTTCACCTACCTTACCATGCCTCAGAGCACCTCTTTCTGTCCACCTCCCTTGCAGGTGCTTGCTGACTTAAGCCTGCACTGATGAGGCACTGGAACATTCTCTTTTCTATGCATAGTAATGGGAAATATTGCAGAGCAAACATGGACCCCTGCAGAGCCACAAAGGAGATTCATTGAAGTTGGCATCAATTTTGCTTAGCTTCCTGCTGAAATATTTGCCAATCTGGCCAAGATTCTGAACTGCCTGGGGCCCGGG